AACTAGGCTTTCGTGCACAAAATTTGTTTAGAGCTGGATTAAGCAACATGGTTAGCGAGCAACCCCAATTCGAGTGTATCTTAATATTTATTTCCTTTGTAATATGTCATTTTAGTATTTAATTGGGGACCAATTCTCACCACATCGTTCTCTTCTACATATGTTATATAAATGCTTAGAAACGATTAACACTCTATGAACAGTACAGTACGATTTATTATAAATTTTTTGTAACATAGATATGTTGATTAATGTGTTTGATGATTAATATTTAAAAACATGCACAAATATCAAGTTAATGATAAAGACAAATGAAGTAAATGGATAGCGTGGTTAAATACCACTCCTAATATTGTCGCAAACTGCGTGACTTCACTGGATAAATAATAAAAATAAAATATAAAATTCTTTTTTATAGTACCATGACTATCATTCATTCCATTAAGCCCGTTCCATTTCCGAGCCTTGCTCCGTAGTTGCAACTAATTATCATCCTTTCATATTTAAAACCCACTTTAACACGTCTGATTTAATATGCAATTTAGAGTAATCAATATCTGGAAATAATAGGAGTGCATTTTATCAGACGTGATTGTCAAGCAATGTTTGAAACCTTGTGAAATTTATATTATAAAAATTATCGTTTATCAACGATAAGACTATAAATCAGATTTTAATGTTGTCTGATGACTTCCTTTATTTTTTTGATGTGACATTGCCAGATAACTTCATAGGAATAGTGAAATGGAAATAATTATTGGGCCAAATGGTAGGCCCATGAAAACTTTCATTAGCGTTTGGATCGTTAATGTTAATGCATTTATTATCACAAAAACACATGAACGGGTCACCGTTTTTTGACAATCCACTTGAAGCGTCACACTTAAACCTTAATTCATCTGCATGCAATATAAAATTTATAACAAAACACATCATATATAATGAATAATGAATAATGAATAATGAATAATGAATAGCATAACTCATTTTCTCCCTACATGACACACGAGACTCACTCTCTGGATCACTGGATCCGAAGCCACGAAGCATTTATGCATCTGATCTCCATTGAAATTTCCTAGACCTATACGAATATTGAAAGATATATGCTAAAAATATAAGAAAAAAGAGTTTGTAAGAGTTGAAATTGAAAATATAGTTAAAACTTGTACCTTTTCTTTTTCCTATTTCTTCCAACTAGGGTTGGAAGGAGACCAAACTCCTATTAGGAGCTTACAATCTGGCCTAGTTTAGTTTATTTAGTAAATAATACATTTAAGTTTATACCTTTAATTAGGCCTATATGTATAAATAGGTTAAGCCTATTTTTATAAGGTCTAATTTACAAGCTTACTAGATTGGCCTATTTACGTGCATGCACATATAATGTAATATATTACACACACACATATATGTAATATGTATAATATTACATATATATATATATTATTTAATTTAGAAATTAAAAGATAATTGACTTCAAACCTTTTCTTTTTATTCTTCCTCCAAATTGAAATTTGAAAGCACTAAACAGGCTTTTCTTTACTCATGTTCCTTTTTATTAGCTTTTATATGATGAATTGATAGTATATCAATTTCACCATTTAATTCTAACCAATCTATTTTTTTTTTTCTAATTTCTTGATTATGTTTTCAATCAAATTAGATTTATATATTGATTTCAATTTTGTTATTGTATTGCTGTATTATAATTGGTAAGTCCTCTTAATAATTAATTATCATATATTATAGTTGATAAATCACATTGCAAATATGTAAGCTTTAATAATTCTAAAACATATTTGAGTCCTTTAAAACTACAACATAAGCCTTTTTTTTTGTTAGATAATATGTAACCCTATTTAAAACTTTTACTTTTACATAGATTTTTATATTAAGCCAGACTTTACGTAAGTTTAAGCTTGAATTATAAAAATAAATTTTATACAAACTTTAGTCCAAGTTTAGATTTATGATTTGTCATAAAGGTTTATATCTATTTGGTCAAAACTTAATTTGAGCTAACCTTATTCCACCATCTAATTCCTAACATTTTACGATGCTCGAATAATAGATCTAGATTCAGGATTAGGCTCCCACAGAAACATGTTGATATAAATAAGGACTTTAATTACAAGATTAGTACAATTAATAATTAATGTAAGGATTATAATGGATGGCATTTTGAAAGAGTGTACACGTATAATGGGAATAGGGGACCAGTGCTTGAAAACCAAGCATCCTCATCCAACTGTGCATGCCTTCATATTTAAATGCACGAATAAGAAAAAGGCTTTTAGCTTAATACCTAAGCAACGGAAATCACCAATGAAAACCATGTCCATCTCTGTTCGACTGTTCCCTCTTTTTTTTTTTTAAAAAAAAAAAGTTTTCAATCCAATGGGCTTTGAACACTTGTCACCCAAAAAACCCCCAGAAAAATTTAAATAAAATGAGGATAATATAACTTTTATTCTTATACTTTTTTTTCAAGTATCAATTTAGCATTTAATTATGATTCAGTATAACTTAATCTTTATAGTTTGTGGAGTTATGGAATTACAGTGACTAAATTGTACTGAATTAAATATAAAAATTGAGTTGCTTCAAATTAAAAAATAAAGGAGATTGAACTGTTTCAATTCAAAGATTAGAGATTGAGTTGATAATCAAGAACAAACTCATGGATCAAAAGTCTTTTTTTTTTTTTTTCCTTTTTAGATGATGGGCTCTGTTATTAATTTGGTGCAATATAAATAGGGTGGAAGGAGCATATGCAAGCACTAGAGTCCATGTTTGCTTTCAAGATGAATCCAGCCAAGTCCATGTTTTGGAAATATAGACGCTAAAATTAAGGCAAGACATGTATATGATTTGTGACACAAATAATAAAACAAAGGTTGGTGCTATCACTAGGACGATCTCTCATGTTGGATGTCTCATGACTGATGAGGATAAAAATTTGTCTGTTTGAAGGCACGATCCTTGAGACACGTAATTAAATTCATTCAATTCAAGTGTTTTAATTTTGGTGATTGGGTCAAAGGAATTAAATGGAGAAGAAAAGAGGGAAAGAAAAGGAAGGGTCCAACGACAGCCCTAAGATCCGACAAAAGCTGACCATTCAAAAAGCTCTAAAGACAAGTACTGCCCACCCTATCACGTCTCCACATTTACCCCTCTGCCCCTCATCTTCATTTTTCAAAATTAAAGTTTCTCATATTCATAAAGACTAAATTATTTCTTTCCCTCTAATATACCAAGTGGCGTAGGAAAAAAGCAAAAAAGAGGGGAAAAAAATGGAAGAATGGAAGGGATGCCCTAATATTCACGCCAAGGAGGACTCGCATTCAAACAAGAGATTCCTTCTTCTTCCTTTCCTTATCTCATCAATAGCTTTCTACGTTCCCTGCTTGATGGGGACCTTCATTTTCTAAATATTCCTTTCCTTTTTTTTTTTTCCTTGAGCAAATTTTAATTTCCCTAAAACAAAATTCATCACTTGCCAACAAAATCCTCATGCATGGACATTGAGTTTTGAATTCACAATCTTGTAAATTATATGCTAAATTCTTACCTAATTAATCAGCCTTTGTTAGGTAATCTTGCAGTTTTTTTTTTTTGGGCCGAAAATATTCGTTTATTAGATAATTTTAATTTTTAAGCAATAAAGATCGTAATATGATGTATGTCAAACAGTCAAAGCGCAGAGAAGAGAAGAAAAAGGAGGAGGGAAGAGATAGGCTCTGCAGGAAAACACCTAAAAAGTAACGCTGACTGCTCTGTCTCTCTCCCTTTGACCATTTCTTCTTCTTCGTCTTCTTCATCACCATTAGCTTTACAAGTACAGGTATAATGCTGTGGAATCTCATTTATTTTTCTTCCCTTTGTTCTGTTGTTTACATGAACTCATCTCATTATGAACTGAATTTCAAACTGTTCTTGCCATCTTAGCCTTACCTCTGCTTGTGTCCCCTCCCATATATTTTTAACTAAACTCATGTTAATGTTATCCTCAGCTTTATCTTCTCAGATGTTCACATTATTATCACCTGCCTGCCTCATCCCATAAATTACATTTGAAATATTTCTCCATGAGAATGTTTCATGACTTAAATCCATGCTAGCTCTCGCTTTAATTACTCTTCCTCCGCTTCTGTTTATAAGATATAGAAAATAATTTTTTATTTTATTTACAAAGCATGTCATTAATTTTATATCCAAGTTTTTCTTTTTACTTCCATTGATAAGAAAAAATATATTATTAGAACATACTATTTTTATTAAAAATTATAAGGTATTTTTTTAAAGTATTCGATATTAAAAAATATAAGTTATTTTTAATCTTTTAATATGTAATTATTATTTTTTATCAAAAGTATCCTTATTAAATAAATTATTTTATATTTATTTTAGAGTGAAATGCTCTTTTAAATAAGGATAAATATAAAAAGATAGAGTTAATTTAAAAACAAATAACTATTTTATTATGGTGAGACTTAATTAAAAATGTCTTACATTTTTTGACAGGGAGAGTATATTTTTAACAGGAGAAAATTTAAAAACTTGTTAATTTTTAAGATAAGGGTAATAAATTTTAAGATCTTTTTAAAATATTAAGAATAATTTATAAATAGGATAAGAGAGTAAATTTGAGCTCAACATCCTTGCTTGTATCAACACTTTCAATATCAATATTTGATCCTACTTTAAAGTGATAGAAACGTTTTATAAAATTCATAGGAGGCTATCTTGTTTATAAATAATGAGATCTGCATTCATTAGACTTCGTAGAATATATGAAAAAGAAGAGCGAGAAGTGTCAACTTGATCTACTTCCTGTTCCTGAGCAATTATCTTATTAACAAAATACAAAAAACAATTAGTGTGAATCACATTCAAGGTATACTGTTTTTGAAGACAAATGGTTCGCCTTTCAAAATCATTATAGTATATCTATACATGCATAGACTTAGTTCATACGAATGTTTGCAGAGAGTACAAGCAGAAGATTGCTTGATCTTTAGGGTCAAGCTGATCTCTCTCTCCCCGAGTTTGATTTAACAAAATTGGATTCGACAGAGATGTGGTAACAACCCCAAAATTAGAATAGTCTCTTAGATTTGTTTTAGATTTTTTTCTTCTGGTTTATTTTTTTTATTAATTTTATCTTTTACATTTTCTGAAATTACTAATCCTTTAATTTTTCAAACACAAATTGGAAATTTCCGTGAAGCTTTATAACTTTGATCCTACAATATCTCCTTTTCCTTTTTAGTTTTTACGGCCAAGCTTCTTGCCTACCTAATCCCTCCCTCTCTCTCTCTCTCTCTATATATATATATATATATATGTATGCATGTATTTATCTGTATATGTTTTTCTAACATATACGACTGTCCCTTCTCGCTGTAATTCATTGTCTGTGTCATGCTCTGTTTTTCTCTCTAACCCAAAGCAAGGCCGAAAACATTCGCAGTTTCTGATTCTTCCATTTAGGGCTTAAATTTTGGCTCCATGTCGAGAAAAAGCAAAAGGGTGTGTTTCAGTCCTGAAGTCAACGAGCAATCAACAGTCTTTCTCAAGCATGGCGGCGACGGCGCCAGATTGTCACCGGTGAGCTTTTTACTGCGGCTTGGAGAAAAGGTGGTGGCTGGAGCTATGAAGGTGGTTTCTATGAAAAGAAGATCTTCAAGAAAGGTGTCTTCTTCCACCATGGTTAGGTCGCGTTCGTTATCTGCAGGCTCTTCTGATTCTCATCGAGCTGAAGCTGTTGAAGATTGTATCGAGTTCTTGCACTCTTCTTCTTCTAGAGAGAGACCCAGTTGAGAGTTTTTTTATATTATACGAGAAACATGATATGGCGTGACAAAAATAATTTTCTGTTTCGATGTAATTTCAAGTTTGTCTCGTGTTCTTGTTTCTGAAGGATTAGTGCTGCGTTGGTTCTGTAGAATTTGAAGAGATACATGTTAGTTGTTACCGTTAGAGAAGAAGGTACGCTCTTCTGATTTTTGATGAACCTGTTCATGAAATGAGTAAGAACCTACTTAGATAGAATTGCAAATTGCAATCTCTTACTTTAATTATTGGAGTTCTTTGAGAGTCAATCTAATTCGCGACCACATGTTTGGTATGATTTCCCATTTTTTCTCGCTGTTTTTTGGGCCATTTTATATCTGTATTTGCTCAGTGGCTGAATGTTAAAGATGTGTTCTGATTTTGATATGTGAATTAGAATTAGAAATACAACAAAAGGAGTTGGTGAGGGGAGGATTATCGTATCATATAAGTTTTGGTTTTTAGAAGTAGGCAGGTTTTGAAAATTAAAAAGATGTCTTCTTAATGTCAGCAAAATAAAAAAAAGAGATACATACATATAAGGATTTAGTGCCTGTTTGGTTAGGCTTTAAAATCGATTTTTGTGCCTGAAATCAATTTTTAAAATGAAATTATCCAAGCAGCTGAAAATGAAATAATCGATTAATGGGATGAAAATCGTGTTCTGAGTTAAGCTGCCTCCATCTGCTTTTTTTAAGGTCTTGGATCAATTTCTACTGTTGACAAAATTTACTTTTTGTGCATGTGCTCACAGTAGAAAAGTCTTGGAGCTAAAATATATAGTACTATATGAGCCTATTATAATGTGTGTGTATATACTTCCTCCGTTAAAAAATATAAAGTATTTTTTAAGAAGTTGAATATTTAAAAATATAAAGCATTTTTAATTATCACGGTATAATCATTATTTTTTTTAAAGTATTCATATTTAATAAGTTGCTTCATATTTATTTTATGGTGAGACATTCTATTAAATAGGGATAAATATAAAAATATAATGTTAGTTTAAAAAATAATTATTTTATTAAAAATAAGATTCAATTAAAAAGACTTATATTTTTAAATAGAGGGATATATATTTTTGGATTTAGATAGAGTTGAGGTCGGACAAATATCCCCATTCAACTTGAAAAAATTTACAAGTATACATTATCATTATATAAAATTTGCACGTTACCCTAATAATTTTAAATAAATCATTCTAATATTTTTAATTTTGATAAAATTAATTTAAAAAAATAGTATCCAAACAAATTGCATTATAACATAATCAATTATAATTAAAATTAATCATTTAATTAATTATTTTTATAATTAATTATATCCAACTGAAATTTAAATGGGCACTTATATGTTGATTTGCAATATCGTCTCAAAGTTATTCACAAATTCAACCATTTCCGCTATAATGCACAAAAGAGGTTCAAAATCATTATAATGTTTAGCATCCATCAGTTACTGACTACGGATTATACCATCTTGTAGAATGATAATACTCCAAAACATTGACACAACAGAATTTCTATAAGCATTATATTTTTCCACTTAAAAGGAAGATATATAATATTTGTGAATTTTTTTAATAATATTGACTCAGAATCTGTTCATTTTTAAAGTTTACATGACAGTAAAATTTGACAACGTTCAACTGTGAATTCACATTTCTTAAATTATAGAGTGCCACTTATTTAATGCCATGCAATCTCTGAAAATGTTGCAGAAAAGAATGCAGCTAAAGAAGCCCTCAGCAATTTGAATTAGGAAGAATCAAGATTCTGAAAATCCATGCATGATGCATCATTACAACAGAGTTCCCAGACAAAAGCATTCTCCATTACCTAGGCCTCCTCCATGCATAATTGAACATGTCAGACTCATGTCCTGAAATATCAAGCACTATATAGTGTTACTTTTATAGTAATCATGTACGTTTCAGTTTCATGTATAAAACATATTTTAAAAAATATATTTAATTTATAGTGTAATTTTTAAATAATATTTAAAAAATATTTTTAAAATTATTCTTTATGTAAGAAAAAAAATAACATCATTACTTTTTAAATTTAATATATAAACATATATTTGAAATTTTATATATTTTTTTTACCTTGTATTTTTTTTATATTGATATTAATAAAGTTGGTAAAAATAATTTATAAAAAGAATCGAGAAGTGTTTGTATTTTAAATATACTATGCAAAATACCAATAGCAAGTTGTCAACGCCTCCCCGTGGACTTGAAGTATAGGTAGAGCTTTGGCTCTTGAGTGTGTGAGCTGTGCGTTCAGATTAATTTCTTAAAAAAAAAAAAAGATACTACACAAAATGTCTCTTTTTTTAAGCAAATCTTTATTTATTTCTGCTTAAATATACAGACTACGTTTACAGAGTGAGTAAACATGCCATCGGCAATCCACTTTGCCAACACATAACCTTTTGACCAAAGGAACTGTAGTGCAATAGCTCATTGCTGAGGCCTGAGGGAACCCAGACCAACATCTTTCCATGCAAATACAAAGTCATGTCTTCATGTTTCTCCAAGGCCCAATTCTGGGTGCTGTGGTAACTGTGCCACCACTTAAAGCAAAATAAAAGATAAGAACTGATGCAACCCCACCATTGTTTCACAGTGATCTCAAGTCTCTGTCTTGTTTCTGTCTAGAGAACTCTGCACAACCCATGTTAATTCTTTATTTTCATGCTTTTAGTACAAAATATTACCAAAAGAAGGGTGTTATTTATACCTTTCAAGTCTATTTATAAATTATAAATTGTACAATTCATTATGAGATTCCATGGTTTAGTGCAGCTTACTATGAGGTAAGACTTCTTGCAATGCAGAGTTCCACCTTTCTAGTTACACGTGAAAGATACATTTCATGCTTGCCCTTATATTTTCTTTTATCCATTCATGAATATATCTAGTCCTAATGACCCAAGCTTCAACCTAACATTCTAAACAAAATTATTTGCCAAAAAAGAAAAGTTTTAGACTAAAACCAGTGAACAGTTACAAGCTTGGACTGTCATCTCTGAAGAATGTGTATTCTTTTAAAATGGTGACGAAAAAGATCACCAGCAGGTAAGGCAACAACGACGCAAGGTAACTCATAATTTTCAATCCACTAATCATATCATGGCAGGAGGAAAAGAATAAAGATTCCAAACGGCATTATGATTAAGCAGTGCCCGGCGTATCATCAAGAATCCAAGGAGAGATTTTCAAGTTGTCGGATTCCCTGAGTGGAGGCCTTTTTCAACTCGAGGGCTCTCTTGTAAGGAGGGGCAATAGGTGGCTGTACAGGGTCCAAGCTCTGATATGTTCCCTCAGCAACTTTGGGTAGTGGATATGAGCGATCAGAATCATACCCACTCAGGTCCCCGCAAGCTAAAAACGGAATATAAACCTTGTTTGGTCCTTCCAACCACCCACTACAACAATCTGCACACGCGCATGCGTTTCACAGTCATATGAGATCAACTAAAGACTCTGGTCTTCATATAAAGAAACCCTATTTTGGTCCCTGACAGATAGGTAGACTTTTACTTTGGTCCCCAATGGATCATTTCTTTGAATTTTTAGTCACCTGAAATTCAAATCCTTACAATGTTCCCTTCCATTATAGTTCTGTTTCACCCAAAATTTAACACCAAATCCAATAGGCTGTTGACAGGATGTTACTTGCCATCCATTATTCGGGCCAAGCTTACCATCCAGTAACAGCCAAGTCGGCAAATTATTAAATATGTTGTTGAACATTAGATGTAAATGAAATAGAAAGGTGACAATTATATGTTAATGACCATATTGAAAGTCCTCCTTCTTGTCAAGGACCAAATAAAGTTTTCCTTCGTGTAAAATGGAAGGTAATAATTTCTCAGAGCACGATGCTTGAGCATACTAGAATAGGAATGAATTTTAGATGCAGAATTGTTCAATATAAAAGCCAATAGATAAGCTAAAGGGGTTGAATATACCTATATCATCCGCCCCTGAGGGACTTCCAACCTTCTCTAGAAGGCGATGCAAATCTTTGGGATTGAATCCTTCAGGAGGGGAATAGTTTTCGCAAACTGCAAATGCCTCTGGAGGGGGAAAAACCAAGAATTAGCACAAACAGTAACAACTATACTATACCTTCCTGCCACCTGGATAAAAATTAGCATCAGTAATGCCAGATGTTTGGAGGCACAGGGTAAGCTGCTCAACTAAGCGAAGTCATATAAAGATAGGGAAGCTAATGGAGCAGATGATGTATCATAGATTCTACATTTAAAATTAAATAATCAGAACTTCGCATATACAACTTCCATACTTGAAAGGCATGACTCTCAACTCCTAAGTGATTCCTTCTAGGAAAAAGATAATAATAAAGAAACCCAAGTAAAAAATTAAAATAGTAAGACGGGAAACTAGAGTTTACCTATGCTAGAATTTCGACTGCTTTTTGGCTTTGCAAAAGTCACTACAGGGAAAAATAACTTCAGCTGCAAACAAACAAACAAATATAACAAGGAAGCATAGGAAATGTAATCATACATCATGGATTCATGGTAGACATTAAAAATCATAAATCATTAAAACTACTATAAAAATATAATTATGCAATGGAAGAAGATTCTAGGTCAACTCAAAAAACAATTGCTATAGATAGCAGCAACAATAAACACACAACAATGTCACAAGGATGGCTGCAATTCCAGTAACTTGCACGTGTAGGTTCTTTTAACTGTATAAAAGAGTTTCTATTAGTCGTGGAATCAATCTAAAAAATTCAATCCACTTTTACCAGGGCACTTTTCTAATACTCAAGAAAGTAACTCCAAGCTTTTCTATTTCTAACAAAGTACAATTATATTGACTACTTATGGATGGCTCATCATTTTCCTAGAGATTTTTTTTTTTTTGGGAAAATATGCATCTATAAAACATGTCAACCTTTCAGAATCACAGATCTCATGGCACTTTGCTTAAACTGTTTTCAGAGGTGCCTACTCTTTATTCTCATTTCTCAGTGTCTATCATGAGTCTCAGGAGAACATCTACTGTTGAATTTACACGGATGTTGCAAAAGCTATCCGGAGAGGTTAGACTGAAGAAATAAATGCAAAACATGATTAAGTCAATGTCAAATTAAACCTGACAGTATAGGAGGCTTGTGTCTTTTCCTCTAAATATCTTCGCAATAAACTTGCCTCCCTCCTTGAGTACATGAGTAACAATTGTTAAACCCTGCAAGAAGAAACCTGATAAGCATTAACGTTCTACAAAATCTAATAAGATTGTAAAGTATGATTATAAAACCGTCAGCAAGATGAGGAATAAATCATTTAGGGATAAAGTTCACATACACCATCCAAAAGAAAGAACTTAGGAAGTTGAATGATTAAAAACAAAGAGCAAAACATCGTTACATACTTTCTTTGATAGAGAATAAACAGGAATGAATGAAAATTGAGTCATCAGCATACATCCACCATTTAAATATTATTTTCATTTCCATGTTGTAGCGAATTATCGAGACAGCAAACCAAAAGGGAAAAAACAGATGAGAAATTTGATGGAGCCCTAGCCGAAACAAGAAACTGAAAGATCCTCTACTATAGACTCAGCTACGTAAAACAGAAAGAAAGCCTGTTACAGAAATTCTTGCAAAACAAACACACACACACACACACACACACAAGCACAGAAACAGAAAACTACAAGGAAAGGAAAAGAAAACACTCCCAAGCTTTCAAGAGGCTTGGACTTTCTCCACAAAAACTAGCCAAATCCTTCCTTGCTTCACCTAAACCTCCAAATCCCATAATAAAACTCTCCAAAAGGACGCACTTCTCAAGAATAAAAGTTGATTAATTGAAAACAAAGGAAAAAATCATTGCATACATCTCTTGCAAGAGAACATAGAGAAATGAATAAAAATTGAGTGGCAGGCATACATTCACTCTTTCAATATTACTTTCATTTCCAAATTGAGATCAACTATCAAGACAACAGACTAAAAAGGGGGGGGGGGAGAACATAAAAGAAGTTGTTCACAACAACAGTTAGGTACTAACTGCTAGTATCAGTTGAGACTGAACAAATTCATCCATGTCATGAAGACCTGTGACTGCACAAAAATATGGAACAAATCTTAGTTTTCTAGCCTAAGCATAACTATATATGTCATATATCAAAACATTATGAAGTTAAATTATGAATATCTTTTACCATCTGGAGCACCATCACACACAACCAGGTCAGCCTTGCAACCATCGAAATGCCTAATGACCTGAAGAAAACAACACAAACGACACTTTCACATACTTTGGTACAATAGCCTATTGAACAAAATCAAATTGGTAGGCAAAAAGAAGCATTGAAAGAGCAAGTCCTATACTTTTAAGTTCCAACTAATCCCCAAGGATAAAAATATAATCTAAAAGGGTCATTTAAAGACCATGCCAAATCCATATACATGAATTGAGTTTATTTGAATGGTGCTTCAATTTAACCCTGTGTACTGGGGAACTACAACAATGTGCATAATCACATTTTTCACACCATTGCAGTGAATTTCTTTCAATCTGATAGCTATCTTCTGTTTCTTTACTGCATTTCTACCATAACGTTTTCTTGCCACCAAGACAAAAAGAACAGCAGAAGGGAGTTGCGAGTGTATAGTTGACATTCAAACAAACCAGAAGCAACAAGTACATAATTTTCTGATAGAAATATATAATAACAGATAAATGATTTAAACATATGAATTCATAATCTTTACACATTTTCAATAGTGGATCCTAATCCAAATTGCCTCAGAAGCATAATATCTTCTGGTATCATGCATTTTTGACCCATCCCCAAAAGAAAATTATTTATATCTAAAAAGGAAAAGGGACAAGCAAAGCATGGACTTCTTAAAATTCAATGATACTGTTATAGTTTTGTAAAATGTTAGCTAGTTTTAGATTTAAATGACAGTTGCTGTGAGTAGCCGTTGGGAGAGTGTGAGCGTAAAGCCTATATATACTAAGGCATTTGAATTGTATTTTTATCTCAGTGATCAGTCAACAGAATTCCTTACGTTCCTCAAATTCCCTCAATCTCTTCTCCTTAATCTCTCATTCCTCTCTGCTCCTACCTAACTTTCTGTTCTTCTCTCATCTTTTCCCTTATCCCTCTCTAATTTCTATCAGTCCAAATTATTCATATGCATCAGATACAGATTGGTGATTATTAACGTCTTCCTACAGGAATAAAAGGCATGAAAAATTTGAGATAATACTACTGTATATACCACTTCGGCTGTACGGGCATTAGTTATATCACCCTGCACCTGAATAACACCTTCAATTGGAGCCATTGGCTGTAGATCAATAGCAACTATAAGAGGAAGATCACCATCCCTGCATATCATGGTTCACCAGAAAATTTACATTCTTGACAGAATGGCAAGAATGATAATCAAATAGATATTTTTTAAGGCAAACTTCATGAAAAACCATGCTAGTCTACTAATTCAGAACATTCATAATGGTCATTAAGTTTTCAACGCTCACTTTGAAAACACCCGATTTGCGTAACACATGAAATCTGAATCCAATGGCCGTTAATGTTATAAAAGAAAGAAAAAAAACTACTTTATGACTGTATCTTAAATTATTTAAGTTTTTAGACAAAGGAAAAAAAGTATAAATAGCTTATGAAGAAATATATATAGATATGACAATGAATCAATATTCAATAATCAAAAGTAAAGATTAATTATATGACAGTGATATGTATAGAGCAATTTTATGTGTTTATTGTCAAACTCGTATTTCTCTTTTTGATATGTTGTTCTATAAGAATACAACAAGCATCCTTATCCCACTAGATATAGTCGGCTACATAAATTGTACGATACCATTATATCATATTAACAACCAAACCTTTTGATATGTTGTTAACCAAAAGGTCTCATTCAACAACTTCTTTATATATATATACATATATATAAAGTGTATGATACTTTCAATGCATAAATACTTAATAAGGATACCATGGTTCATAATCATTTTGCAGTGTCAATAATGGTGACACTGTCATGCGAAAGCTCATCAATGGGAAAGTGAAATGCTTTTAGGCAATGATTTATATAACCAAAAGAAACCAAACAAGAAATTTCTTGAACTCAATCTAACTTGCATTAATTTATATTTCTAAATTGGTACATTGAGACCTTAAAATCAAGGAAACCCTAAAGAAAGCACAGAACTTTCCACGAAAGTGAACTTACTTTGTATCAGATGCAAGTTTTGCAGGGAGATACAGCTTACGACTCAAAACCTGAATAAGAGAACAAGGAATTATACAGTGATTAAGATGAAACCCACATGAGATCTGTAAATGTACAAGCATAACTCAAGAGTTTTCAAACATTGTTCTAGCACCAACAGCTTATCTTCATCTTCAAGGTGCATTGTTAATAATGTCGTCCATTATTCAGTAAATCCTTTGTTTTTAGATCAGTCAATGCATTTTCCCTTAACCTAGCATACTGATGTAGTAATCCTGGCTCTTCTGGTTGGATTCTTCATTCACCCTCCATCGACATTGTTTCTTTAGCATAAATGAAAAGAGGAAAACCAGAAATGCATTGCTACCATCATTAATTGTGTATTGTTCTACATCCTTCTTATGCTCAATACTATCACATTTCTAATCACTAGTACCTGACTCCAGCTACCAGGGGCAGCACATAGATCTACCAGCCGTTTCACTCCTGCACAAGAAATCATAACCATAAGCCAAGAGAGGGAATTTATGCGCATGGATACAACTGTATAGATGCACATGCACACATTCACACAAGTGTGTGCATGTTGTGCTGTTAACTTGTGAACTTCAAAGCTCGCTAAACTTTCCAGTTATTTTTAAGATGCTAACGCCCAAGCTTTCTAGTGAAAGGTGAGAAATGCATGATAAGATATTTTCTAGTGCTTAATTTCTATTTCTGTTTAACACTAATCACATTCCCAGCCTCAAATACAAAACAGTCTTTCCAATCAAGCCAATGAATTCATTTGTTTCACCAAAATGTTAAGAAAACCAAGCAAACAAAAAGTTATTGTGACAGGATATTCTGAATTTCACCGACAAGGCACGCACCTTCAAATATGTTGAATTCCTCATCTATTTGAAGAAGCTTAAATGCACTTCTAGCACGCCAACCTTCTTCTTTTGCTTTCCTGTAGTAGATATCCTGTAAAAGAATGGAAAAATCCAGCTGAACATAATGGAGCAACAAAGAGAAGATAATCAGAGAGATATATCAATCATACCCTCTTATCCCTTGAAGCCTTGCCCATGGTTTTTACTTTAAAAAAAGTCCTTTCACCAAGAATACTCCCAAAGTTAGTGTTCCAAGAACCTGCTAAGTATTCTGGGCAATCAAGCTTAATTTGATAAAAAATAAAATAGGGAATGGAAGAGGAAGAAAGAGAGTTGAAATTTAGCTTGTCTGCTAATTGCGAGATACAGGTCATTTGAAATGCAGAAGTGACGCTGAATAAGCTCCTGCTTGGGCTCTCTTCATGGCTAGGTCCAGCCAGCTTGAACATTAATGGGGGGGGGGGGAGCAAGCAAATAATCTAATGGTATTTTTTTTTTAATCAAATAATCTTATGGTTTTGAGTAAAGTATTTATCATTTGATGGAAAAAAAAGAGTAAGCTATTTATCATTACTTACTAATTATTAATTACTAGTCCAGAGTTTATTTTTTAAACACAAACTTTCATTCATTTTTTTTACTTTAACTCTGAAATGAATTTCTTCTTTTCTTATGATTTATTGATTTTATTATGTTTATTCGAAATACTCATGGATCAATCTTCATGGTTCTTACAGAATATTAAGGTCAAAGGGTATTAATCTAACTAATCTGATATTATTTTATTGAGTTGACTTTCTTTGAATTATTGTTGTTGTTGTTGTTGTTGTTGTTGTTGTTTTCTCAAAGAAGTTTTGGTTTGAAGAATAGTTTTTACCCAAAATTAGTGAGTTGCAGGAAGAATGAAAACTAAATCTCAGTATCCATCGTGAATTTGTTGGAAAGTTTATATTATGTATAAAATATAGATTACGAAATATCAAAGGGCTGTTTTATTGTTCCTTGTTATCTTTTATAAATAGAGGTGCTAATATGGGCCAGCTTGCAGGTGTGGGGCAGGCTAGCATAACCAGCATCTTGGCGAGTTGGTGACTCGCCAACCAGCAGGCTAACCCACCAATGAAAAATATTTTTAAATATTATTTTTCCAATTTCAAAAATTACAAATTCACCCCTTTTCTTTGTTTTTTTACGGAAAAAAAAATCATATTTTCTCTTTAAAAACGAATTATCCAAAATAACAATAAAACTACTCCTAAATAATTAAAAAACACAATACAAATTTAAAATACATTAATACAATCCAAAATAAATATATACTCCATCACAGACAAACATAGTAAAAAGTTTCAATTTTACAAAATTCTTTAACATGAGTTTTCAAATAGTGGATATTAGTTAAGTATAGATTCGAAGCAAGCAAATCAAAACTGAAAAAAAAAAATATATATATATATATATATATCAGAAAACAGTTCCAATACAGCAAAAAGAAAAACAAAATTGGGTATTTGATTCCATAGATTACAACTACTACCTATAAGTAAAGAAGTTTATATAGCATATGAAGAAGTAGCAGAAACCACATATTTAATTAATGTATTATGGCCAGCTAAGGAAAGAGAACAAGCCTTCCAATTCTTCAATCTCAGTCGTACCTTCCCAGGAGTGAGTCTAGTAGGCTGTAATGAGAACTTGTGGCAGAATCTCAATAATTAGCAGAATGATTTGGGCCATGAGAATGTGATCCTAGGTATACAACGTAAGATTGCCATAGACAAAACTCTTCGTATTAATTCAAACAGCTGACATGCACTAATTTTAATCCATATAGATGGAGAAAACGACAACAAATGGGAAATCAGGGGACAGAAGAATTCTACTTTTGCTTAAACAACAAACAAGCATATATATAATATATAAGTGAGGCTGGAGCAGAAGGAGCCTGGAGCATATATAAAAAAGAATAGAGAGGGACAAAAGCAGAGGAGGACCCGGAGAGTTCAATATTTGAATAATAAGGATTGGGAGAAAAAATCAAATAAAAAGCACAGCGCCCCAAAAATAACAATGTCATGTCTGTGAGACCAAAACTATCTACTTATCTCCTAGTCATGTGTCTGTATTAAGAGAGTGTTAATGGGGAGGCCATTTGAAATTTCCATGTGTTTGGTCCTACCCCTTGGGTCCAGATAGTTAGTCCCAATCACAAGTCTCTTCTTCCCACTTTCATCCGCCACTCAAGCTGCCACATGCTCTCTCATTCATCACTCTCCCAACACTTACACTCTATCTCACTCTGCCACCACACTAATATACATCTCCCATCAATCTATCTCTAAGACATTTTATGATGGGGATGAATTATTATTTAATTTCTTGGTGCTTTCGGAAGGTTGCTTTGCACTGATTGACATGGGGAATAGCTTGCTTTGTTTTATACTACCCGTATACTGGTTTATATTTATGTGCTTGCTGCTTTTATTTATTTTGTATTCATGATTGGAGCGCTATTTTTTTACTTGATGGGATCTACTTATCTCACATCTCTGGAGGGTTCGAACTTATAAGTTTTATTGCCATTACAAAATCTTTTGTTCTGTTAGTTTTGAACCAACACAATAAGTAGAATTATTTGAGCATTATTGAACATGAAACACACTCTGTCATTCAACTTGTAACCTTATGCATGCAACCTTAGCAGATGTGCGCGCGCGCGCGTGATTACTTCAGGGGTAAAGTTATAAAACTGAACCCGAGCAGAGAACAAAAATTTCCGGAACACGAGCAATCATTCCCAGAACAAAATAATAGCAAAAATCGAACCTGGATTTCCGGAGAGCTGTGATCACGGAGGGATCGAGAGGGATGAGACAAGGAGAGATCGAGAGACGAAAGGTCAGAGGGATCAAGAGATTGATAGGCGACTCTGGGTGCCCGGCGCGACAGGAACGGAAGAGGAGGGTGAGAACTAGCGAGTCACGACGGCTGGAGTGGAGAGCTGGGGTCACAGTCAAAGGCCACAGAGGAGAGTTGGAGTGGAGACAGGAGAGAGGAGCTGCGACTTGCGATTTGAGACTAAACGAACGAGCGAGGGCTAGACTGAAACTGTCTGTTTCTTTCAAAAATAATAACAATCATAAGGGGGAGGAGGAGGGCCTCTTTGACAACTCATTTTAAAAATAATTTTCGGAGGAATGACATTAAGAATTTTAAAAAGTAAAAATTTTGCAGATAAAGCTTAATAAATTTTAAAATTATTTTGAAGGCTTAAAGGCCTTATTTGTAATTATATTTTTTTAGTGAAATGACTAATTTATCCCTCTCATAACCAGCTGCCAAACAAAAATTCCTGCTTTTTCCTCCATCCTTCTTCCCTCATTCTTCTCTCTCTTCCTCTGTTCTTCCTCCCTCATCCTTCTCTCTCTTCCTCTTTCAATATTGATACAATAATCAACTTCATTTTCCTCCCCATCATGCTTCTCTATTCCATCTCTTCTTCTTCTTCCTCCTTCTTCCTTCTTTTTCTCATTTAAAGCTTTTTCGTTCAACAAGTATGAGTGGGCGATTCACTTTTATTTAGATGAGTATGGAGAAGACGATCAGGCGTTCAATCGATTACATTCCTCTCACGCCAACTAGCTTCTTGAAACGATTCGCCATAGTTTGTAAAAAATGGATCAAATGCTGCATCTGCCATTATTAGTTTTATTTTGTCAAAAAAGGATATAGAGAGAGTTTGAGCCATATCAGTTTTATCTAATCATAATGTACGCGTTCACATTCATTTAATGAAAAACAAGTTGTTATTTATGGACTTTTTATTATTTATGATACATATTTTTTTTGCAACTAATATAAATGTTCTAGTGTAATGTTGTTTATAAAATTTATGTTATTATTTATGGAATTTACATTGTGCAAACTTTGTAATTAACTTGTGTGGATATTTATATGTATCATATCAACAAACCTTGTATTGTAAATATATGGATATTGTGTTGTTAGCAAATGGATACTTTCATGCTATATATGGACCTTTTGTTTTTCATTAACTTGAGAAATTTTTTTAAATGTTCAGTTTTATCACACAAATCATGTGAAATAAATGGACATTGTGTTGTTAATGAATGGACCTTGTCATGTTATATACAGACTTTTTATTGTTCATAAACTTGAAAAACTTTTTGTTTAAGCCTTGTCAACCGATAAACTGGACACATACGGACTTTTAGTTTAGAATATATGAAGATTGTGTTGTGCATGGTGGATATTGTGTTGTGCATTATTTGCTTACTTGTGTATTTTGTCAAGCCTAACCTACTAATAAAGTAGAATCTTGTAGACTTTTAGTTGAGAATAAATGAACCTTATATTGTGCATAGTAGATATTGTGTTATATATTGTTTGCCTATTTGTGCATTTTGTTAAGCCTAACTTACTAATAAAGTAGAATCGTATGGACTTTTAGTTGAAAATATATGAACCTTATGTTGTATATAGTGGATATTGTGTCATGCATTATTTGCTTACTTCTGCATTTTGTCAAGCCTAACTTACTGATAAAGTAGAATCTTATGGACTTTTAGTTGAGAATAAATGAATCTTATATTATGTATAGTAGATATTGTGTTATGTATTATTTGCCTATTTGTGCATTTTATTAAGCCTAGCCTACTGATAAAGTAGAATCGTATGGACTTTTAATTGAGAATATATGAACCTTATGTCGTGCATAGTGGATATTATGTTGTGTATTGTTTACTTACTTCTGTATTTTGTCAAGCCTAACCTACTGATAAAGTAGAATCTTATAGACTTTTAGTTGAGAATAAATGAACCTTATATTGTGCGTAGTACATATTGTGTTATGTATTGTTTGCCTATTTGTACATTTTGTTAAGCCGAGCCTACCGATAAAGTAAAATCATATGGACTTTTAGTTGAGAATATATGAATTTTATATTGTGCATAGTGGATATTCTGTTGCGCATTGTTTGCTTACTTGTGCATTTTGTCAAGCCTAACTTACCGATAAAATAGAATCTTGTAGACTTTTAGTCGAGAATAAATGAACCTTATAAAAGGTGCCCTAAATTAGGACTTAATTATCAGACTAACTATAGTAAATCAAGGACTAACCCAAAAGGATTATCCTATTAGAGATTAACCTAAACAAATTCTTAACATGTATTTTCACAAACGATTCAATATAAAAGGGATTCCAAATCTTTAAAATATTTTAAGAACTTGTATCACTCAATTAAACATATGCGGAAGTATAATAAAGGAAACACATCAACATGGGAGAAGAGCTTCCCCCTTTATTTTCTCTATGCCTTACTCTACAATACATATATACATATTTACGACATAACACTTGGCCACTCAAACCCTTCCATAACTGGCAGTGAGGGGCCAAGGTCTCAATTACATTTATCACAATAACTATTACCTAATCGTCATACTCTATATATCACCTATTCATTAATAGCCTATCATATACATGAATTTCCCTTTTCATTCACATATAATTAATATCAACTGCTCATCCCTTAGACATCAAAAACACAAGGGGAGACCATAACAACATTCCAAATTCTCAAATTAGGCAATATTAACTATTTTCACTTGCACAAATATTTTGGCCCGTTAATATAGCACAAGCATCAAGCCACATTCCTCAGGGCCCAAAATACATTTCCTCAACACAAAACCCATAATGCAAGTGGATCAATAATATATTATCCTAGTTGGCAATATCATAAATTAAATACACATATCAAAATAAAAAGAGTAAGGCCTATAGAAGTGATTACTATCACTTGGCCTAATGCTCCTTTCCTCTGTTCTTCTGAGATAAGCTAGCTCCTGTAATATGTTAAAAGAGAGGGGTGAGTACAACCACTCAGTAACCAAAGTACATTCAAGTTATACAAATGCATGATAATTAATCATGAATGCAAGTGGCCAATAAATTTATCAAGGTGACCATTCAAACAATTACATTAATAACATGTTAATCACATTAACATTTAACTCATATGAATAATTTGAAGAATAAAGTCAAGTACAAAATTTGCACAAATAGCCACATATATGTTATTCACATAATTACTACATGTTCTCATTTCTACAATTATAATCATATTCTCAATATAGCTACCAATCACTCAAATGGCATGATAGTAATAATATGCATGATCAATCTCTTCTTTATATCCCCCCTTATTTTCTCTGACATGAAATCCGTGGGCCAACAATTGAAAGGGATCGCCATGTGGTGAGACTACCCAAGGCCTCAATCATATCATGAGGGGCTATTTGGCCAGAGTTACCTTACTCACTTATGAACACAGTTTCCTCTAAATCACACACTATAGGGTGTCATACTTAAAATTAGCTTTACCTAAAACTCCAGGTAGGCCAGTAGGGTCAAGTTCCTTAATAGGAACAATGCTATAGTACCTTAAAAGGTAAGTAGCGACTATAACCCTTAGAATTATTGGTTAACAGTCAAGTACCATATGGATTTTATATAACCGCTAACTCCTTCACTAAGGCAAACTCCCGCCATATGATCATGCTCATGAGAAAAATGCATTTCAAAAACTCATATATATAATTCAAAATTATCCCACATGTTCATCAACTTTCTTGCTCAACAAACATCAAGAATCATCATATTTCAATCATGCCTCTTGCATCAATTTTTATATTATCATACAAAATCACATTGGCATCATATAAAACTCAACATGCTCATACAATTCATCACTGTGCATAATTCACAACTTATTTTCAAGAGTGTACACATGATCATCAACCATCAATCTCATTACTCACACCAAGTCATAATTAACTTGGTCACAAGTCATAGAGTCTTAACAAAGCCACATGCGATACAAACAACCATTTCAAAATTTAGACATATATATATATATATATATTTTCTTTTAATTCATCAACATAATTAATTAAGTAATATACAAATACATAAAATAGATTTTCCCCGGTTACCTCAACCTTTGAGAGGTCAAAGGTTACCCCTCAAGTTACAACATTTTCAAAGCTTGAATAGTGTCAAAAGAAAATTAATCTATAATTGATCATATCCCAATGTGTCAATAATATTATTAACATAATTTTCACTCATACTCTAATACCTAAATATTTATTTTATTTTTTTTAAGACCTTAGTCTTAGCCTCTTAAGTTCTAAAATTTAATTTCATATATTTAAACCTATCTACTTGATTCAATAGCCTCCTTCACAATAATTTCATTCAAGTAATTTTCTCATATTAAAATTTTCATTTTTATTCCAAAATTCGTACATAAAAATACTCAAAAATTACAAACTTGATTTCAAACCTAGAATCATTATTCTATAGACATAATGATTTATTTCTTATCTCAAATAATCATCTAAATATCAACAAATTAATTTATATTTTCAAATTTAACCAAAAATCTACCCATAGGAATTTATGAATAAACTCAAATGCCTTAAATTTTAATTCTATCAATAAAATAATACTCTAGAATATTTATTACACTACCAACAACCTCAACAACTAGATTTTCTCATCAAAAATTCATCCCTCTTTCAAACCCTAGATTTTTCAAAATCTCAGAATCTACAGTCTCAGGAAAAAAAACGACTAAAAAAATATTTAGAACACTTACCTAGCCTTAGAATACTTAAAATCTCATCTGAAATATCTTATTATGGAGCTTCACCTTCTAAACCAGCTCTTCTAGCCGCAGCGTTGCTCGTGTTCTCTCGCTCACTCTCTGTTCGCACCTGAGGCAGATGAAGAAAGAAGGAAGAGAAATAGATGAAATAAGGCAAAGCATTTTTTTAAAAACAAGCGTGGGTCATATGGCCTTTACTCTCTTTCTTTTGTCTTCTTCAATGCACACACGTGAGTGACTTCTTCCGCCTTCACTTTTTCTCTCTGTTTTTTTTGGCATTATTTACACCTCAACACCCAAAGCAAAAATTACTTCTCTCCCCCCTCTTCAATTTTCAATTTATTTTATGTTCCTTTCCTTCTTCTTCCTTTTTTTTTAATATTATCATTACTATTTCTATTTACTATAAGATCATAACTTAAGAT